CACTCCGTAATCCAATCGGGGGATTTCGTTATGAGGAACGATCCGGTTTCATGCTTTAGTCAAAACCTTAGGGAGTACAGCCTTGCAGACAACGGCGCGCCACGTGCGCGGCAACAGGCACGTCATGAAACTTTCCTGATTGTTATCTCCGCATTACAGCCGTGCAATTCCGGCCGAGACAGGGCTGTATCCCATCGTCGTACCTTCCAAGAACACTGCGCTTCGCATATGTAGTCTGCTGATACCCTGATGCTATTTTTCCGCCCTTCAGCGCGGCCTATCTAACCCGTGAGATTTCATCCTCCACCTTTGTATACCGCGCTGCGTCTGATTCCGACACATTTGCCTAAGACGCCGCCACCATCGTAGAGAAAAGAAAACATTTATGCCGTAATGATGTACAAATCAAAGTCAAGCTGGCATGCTGTCATGATCTTGGGGAATATGCTTCGTCACATCGTAACGTACTTTTGGTGACCGTAGGAAAGGTTTTGGTGGAAGGACTCGCTCACAACGCCTGCGTGAACGCCCATGAACGCTCACTATGCTTACACCCTAAGGAAAGAACCGACCTGGTTTGTATGTCGCCGGCCCGAAAAGTCGTGCCGAATGTCGAATGCTGACATGGGAAAGAACTAACGTCGTCGAGGCTCCACTTGTTCGGACTGCTCCTCATGTGTCGCTGGCGACCCGTTTCGTCGCCAAGCGATGGCCGGAAGGGTGAAGAGATGATGGCTCGACTTGCTCCACGCGTTCTTCAAGATACACGTTGTTCAAGAGGCCGGCTGGAATGGTACCATCTTGGCTCGGCTTCAACTGGCCCGCCGATGCCTTTTGGCGCCGATTCTCACGCTCATTGACTACTTCGCGCAAGATCTTAGTGGCACCACTCCATCCGAGTTGATTCGCTGTTGCCCGATGATTGAAGAGCCGTTCCACGAGTGGAAGTGGCAGAGATAGCAGAATAGTCGACAGCACGACGGTCGCGTGGCTAGGACGGTGATCATCTTCCGGTGGCGCGTCACCGAACCGAATCTTGCTTAGCCTTGGGTTATGCGCGGCGTTACGTGGTTCAACGAGTGCTGGCAGACGTGGAGCATCTGAAAACTCTGGCGCTATCGCGTACAATTTGAAGTCGGCAGGGAAGGTGTAGGCGATGAACTCGAGAGCGTGATTGAGCAGCATTGAAATGAAGGGGTCTTCTGCATCGGGACCTTCACCTCTTGATCGTGGCCCAGAGCTGGCCTGCAGTGTATATTGCAGTACCTGCTCGACAGTATCCCATCGGAGAAGCATCCGTGCGATCTCAATACCGCGCGCCTGCATGCTAGGCATCTGGAGAGTCCTTGCTGCCGCAATGTAGCTCAGAACTTGTCGCATGCGCATGCGGGCGTCGTTGGAAGGGGACGCTTGGTCGTTCTCGTACATGTAAGGTGCAAGGTCGAACAGGAAGGTCTGGGCAGAAAGGAGCGGGGCGCCATACAGAACCCTGACAGCTTCCTCTAGGGATTCGCCGGTAGTGAAAGGGTCGAGCGCAAGGACATCGACCAGTCGGCGCGCGTCTCTGCTGCGGTGGCTGGGGGCCGGGCTGCGACGAATTGCTTCGGCTATGACAGGGCTCCGCACGACTACGATGCCGTGAACTGGTACTGACATCAGAATGGACTCAGGTGACCGAACTTGGAGGATGAAGTCGGCGAATTCGGGGTTGGCGAATTGGATTGACAAATAGCTGGCAAGTTCAAACGGCGACTCCTCGAGGCGTTCGGTAGGAGGGGCAGTGCCATTCTGGTAGGGCATGGCATGATGCTCGTCCCCGTGGTCTGATGTGGGTACCGTGTCGCCAAATTGTGCCTTGCTCGGTGACTGCGAGTGCGAGGTGCGGGTACCGTTTGCGACAAAAGCTGCCTGTTCCGGCGAGAAGTGACCGTTGGGAGGACCCGGATAGAGGACAGGACCGCTGGGAAACTGCGAGGGTCGAAACTCGGAGCCGTTTGCGTAGGCAGCTTCAGGCGGTGCGACTGCTTGTGGCGGCACATGCCAGGGCGCTCCTGCCTCTGAGGGATGCTGGGCGTGGCCGGGGAAGAAGGGCGCAAACTGCTGGGGACCGAACCCAGGCGGAGGACGTGGCAGCGCGTGCTGTTCGTGCTGGTGCAGCTCTGGCTCTTGAGGAGCCACAGGAGGTGCCGGTGACTCATTCGCGCTCTGGAAGACCAGAGCACCAGCACTGAGCTGGTGGCGGTGCGAGGAAGTGTGAGCGCTGTCGCTGCCTTCTGTGGGCGGTGTCTGCGTGTCCGTCTTGTTCGAGGGATAGAAGGGCGGAGGCAGGTGGGCGGGTATGGTCAGTTTGCGGTGCACTCCGTTCGTGACAGGCTTGGGCTCGGCGCTGGGCTCCACGGGCGCGGGAGGCTTCTCGTCGGCATGGCCGTTGACGTGGTTCTCTGCATCTTGGGAGTTTAGTACGTGCTGCGTCAAAGAAGGAGCCGGTAGTGCATGCTCACCATGAGTGTCTGCCGGTGCCGAGTGGCCATTCTGCAACGGGCCAGGCGCGGCGGTTGCATCGAGCTCTCTCTTTTCTGCGCCCGAAGTGTTTGACTCTGGCGTAAGAGGAGTCTGCACCGCCTCGGCCTGCTGATTTTCAGTTTGCTCTTGTTCCTGCCTCTTGTGCGCGGATTGCGGCTCCGGCTGCGGCTTAGCTGGTTGGGCGACACTGTCCTTGGTGGAGCCGTCTGGTGTGATGGGTCTGGCTGATGGCTGAGACTTGGACAGACGGTAGGGGATGGCAGGCACGATGCGCGAGCCTGGGCGCCGGTGCTGCTTCTGCGCCGTGGCTGCGCGTGCGGTGTCGGCCATGTTTGCTGGGGCGTGCGGAAGAAAGTGCGACTGGGGATTCGGAAGCGGCTCCAGGTAATTGCGGCCTGCTGCTTGTTGCCAATTATCCTGGAGCGCCCTGGGACGGGAGAAGTATGCGGCGAGGGTATTTGCTACGTGGGGTTAGTCGACAGCAGAGAAGTCCAGGCAGAGATGGAGACATGGCTTCCCCACCAATTTTAGCTGCACACCTCTGACCTCATGGCCATAGCTTAAGCTCCATTTGTCATCCTCCACCGCCCACACTGAAACACCACCACTTTCTTTGTTCCCTTTTCTCTACATACGCGTTGTCGTCGTGCTGCTTAAAGAGACTAATCTACTGGTTGTCGGAAATTACGCCAGTACATGTCGTGCTGATGGGTCAGTGACAGTCAAGGAGGGTCTGCAGGCGGCGACGCTGCGATGCAAAGCAAGCTTCCACAAGAATGATATATTCTGTATGATACAGCGTATCGGCTGACTAGTAATACAAGGGAATACCGTTCATCAGTTGGCTCTCACTTCATCTAGGTGGCTACCTGTGCATTCCTGCGACAGCTCCAGTCGAAGCGACTAATCATGCAGAGCATTATGATATTCATATCGACTCTGAACTCCACCGGGTGTACCTTCCTGCTCCAGACATCAAACAGAACGCTCGAACTGGAAAGAGCCACTGACTGACCGCTGATGGAGAAGGCACTACCTCAAGGCAGGACGAACAGCGCTCCTTTGCAGGGCAGTAACGCCCCTCTTAGCCACATGGCACCCTTATCGCCATGGCTGTCCTTCCGAATACACCTCAATCTTCTTCCTTGCTATCGCACGATAAACCGAAATACTGCACCTACAGCTCCGTCACCTTCTCCCGTTTGCCCTATATTTCCTAGTCCAACATTGCCTTTCGTTACACCTCTAGCATGATCCTAGGACAGGCACAACCGATCCCCAATGACAGAACCTCGACGCGATTCTCCAAGCCTGCGCGCCCGTTGAAGGACGGTCGCTGCTCAGATTGTCGAGTACGCGACACCAGAGCCATTTCCGCTAATTACTGCTTGACTACCTGTCCTCATGAGCATGATTTCACTCCTACGCGTACGTTGGCACTAGATGGCATGCGCTTTGACGGCTTCTAACATTTATAGCGAACAAATTCAGCATCCTAGCAGAGCTCCAACACTCGCCCACCGAACCAAAGTGGAATTTCGATTTTGTTCCCACCACTACCGGAAGCACGAGGCGGCGAGGCAAACGGGGAGGAAAGCGCCATAGAAGCAAAGACTCATCTACCAAGGATACTGAACGATGCGAAAATGCAAACATTAGCGCGTTGTGCAAGACCATGGCTGCGTTGCGTCTTAACGAGGATGAGCCGATTAAACCAGGGATGGACGACACTTCTAGCCATAGTCGAAAGGCCGCACCTATCAATCCTCCGTGTTTCGATATCGACAGACCTTCTTGGGCCCCACAATTTCTTCCAGATTCAACAGCCACTGCAACAAGCCAGTCCCAGTCCTCCCAGATCAAAGCACTGCGGTCTCAAATGTCCTCTAATGGCGCAGCGACTAAGCGGCAGAATTCTCAGTTCTTCCCAATCTCCGCTTTTCTTGCCTGTCCCGATCTTTCAGGACGGTTTCCATCCAAGTCTAAATTTCTAGAATCAAAGGCTCCTGAAAAAGGTCCGCAACCCTCAGAGTCTTCAGTCCCTCCTCCTACATCCTCGTCCCACGCACAACACGCCGCAACAAAAGCAGCACATCGTGCACTCACTTCGAGGAGTCTACAGACCAAGCCTACCACATCCACTGACGAGTCAGATATCCAGCAAAAGGGACCACCTCTTCTCCCAACCGTGGCGAGTACCCCTTGTACGCCCTGTCCTCTCAGTCTTGTCAACATGTCCTCCAACATGATTGAGCCAACCTTTGTATCCCCTTCTGGTGCATCTCAACCCACCGAACCCGAGACAGCGAATGGAAAAACTGGAACTCCATCCATTGCACATGGCCTTGGGCGGGAACCTCCATTTTTGGACGCTGAAAAGATGAACGTCAACCCGCGTTTTCACGGCTGTTGGCAACGCCGTTCAATACCAACTCCAGCAAAGGTTCGTCAGTCGGAAACGCTGATGAGCTCGGGTCATGCGCGTATCAGGCTGTCACCGCAAGAAGTGACTGTTCCAGCAAAGCCCCACGCGCGTTGCTATATTCCTCAGCAACCCGGTCGAAAGTCCAAGTTCTTCGCCGACGGCAAACTCATCGCGCGCGAGAGCACCTCCACAGCCCAGCAGCCCGTACTCGGAACCCCATCGTTTGGAACAAGCTCATCCACTTCTCCTGCTCCCGAAAGCTCTTCTCGTCCACCCTTTGGGGACCCGTTCAAAACGTCGGAGGCAGAACATCCGTGGAACGCTTATCAATGGTATACTGCGCTGTCGGACAAGCCTGCAGCATCTAGCGCGTTCTTCTCAGATATTTTCACATCGCCCAATACGCGGAATGATGAGGACAGCATCCCACAGCGCTCACCAAACCTCGACATCAGCCACGTGAACTCCAAACCATCCACGCAAGACAATCACAGGGCCACAATCTCCAAAGTGCTTGCACTCCTTGAAGCTGAACATAAAGAAAGCGTCTCTAAATCAGACACCGATGACTTCGACACTGTTAGTCTTCTTTCCGAGTACGATATCATCGATCCGGTAACTACGAAGTCCATGGCGGATTCCTGGGAGGAAGTACCTACACCACCCGAGACTACGGTTGATGTCGAACCCATTGACGACTCCGACTGCGACGATGAAGATGACGAGTATTACTCTGAGTCTTACTTCCAGTCTCACTAGGAGGAGACACCCGCCACACCTACCAGTGCTGCACGATGGACGAGTGATGGTGCCAGCACGAGCGCAGTGGAATGGCCTACTTTGCAAGAGGCGATGAAATTGCGACATACTGGAGTTGACGAGAGTACGAGTCCGACGAAAGATGACGACGAGATTAAATATTGGGACGGTGTTACAGATTGGTTCATGTGAGGTCGCACGCTTGTATAGTGAGTGCGTATCGTTGATGTCGACTTCGAGAGTGTTGCGGCTATGATGGTGTTAGTTTGGGATTCCGTGTGGGTCTGCTTGAATCGTGTTGTCTCTTTCTGTCTCTGAAATCCCTAGAACAATGGCAGTATACATTTGATCGTGCGTCTGATGTCACTACTGTGAGCTGATATATTGCAATGGTGTCTTGCCACGTTCTCAACACACGCATAGACCAAATGCTATCTTTGTATGTAATTGTCATCGGTATTATCGTATAAATATGACTAGAACGGCACTGAAGAATCTAAACATCTCTAAACACCTCTTTCTCAAAGTCCTTGCACAAATCATTGAATGGCAGCCATTCATCCTTGTCCGACTTTGCCCCGCCCTTCTCCGCGATTGGGCTCCACCACGCCTGCTCCACGCCCGCATCATCATGTACTACAGCAACGGGCGCGACCGGTCCCATGGCATTCGACTCGTACAACTTCCTAGTGTGATTGAAGTACCACATGCGATCCCAGACCGAAACGCGGAGGGACTTGAGCCCATCTCGATGCGCATTGTGGTGGATCAGGCCAGGAACGATACTCGTCCACATGTTCGTGTAGAGAGGAACATCGTTCCAAGACTTCTCGTCGGGAAACTTCGCATCTGGAGCGACGACTGCGGGGCGGAATGGTGGTTGCGACTCTGTAATGTCCTGGGCAAGGTCGTGGACGCGTACTGGCGCGATGTTGAGTTCAGCAGACGCTTGCGCGATGGACTTGGAGTCGTCATATGTTACCCATGCTGAGTCTTCTTCTGCGAAAACTGTCGGATGACCAAGCAGACTGGCATAATCCAGTCCGATGCCAAACTCATCTGGCTTGCCAGCCTTGTGCTCGCGCAAATGCCGCTCGGACTGCGGGCTGAGGATGCTTTTTCTCCCCGTCAACCAATCCCCCGTCTTTTGGAAGAAAGACCTGTGCCGTTGTCTCATGACCTCGCGTTGAAATTCCTGGTCGCCGAAAATCTCACTGAAGATCTTCTGGTCGCTGCCAAAGTTGCGGTCTTTATCTGCCTTCTCCATGGCGCGTTCGAAGAGCGCTTTCATCGCGCCCACGCGGCCCATGGCATCTCCGGAGTTGAGGTACCGTTGACGGAACTTGACGTATGGATTCTTATCCCAGCCGATATCGGTATCGGTCTGCGGGCCGTAGATGTCTTCTGGCAGCGAAGACTGCGGTACAGCATAACAAGGGGGGTCCTCTGGTTTCCACGGCCAACACCGCTTCTGCGCGGAGAAGACAATACCCTGACTTATGCCCTCTGCAGCCGCGGCTCTCGATCCCATGGTCTTCCGTATTCGCGAATTCGCCGCGTCGTTGATAGCGTGGAAGCGCGAGATTAACGCGCTGGGTCGTAGTTGAAACCAGATGTCGTATCCATCCACCAACAATACCAAGTCGTCGTCGCGTTCCGGTCCAAGTTTACGCAGGTATTCGAGCACACCACTGATCTTGGCGATATGCGAACCTCCAGCCACTAGCGATTTATCGTCAAATGTGGCGCCCCAGTTGATCAGCGTAGGGGTTGGGTACCCAGCCACTGCAGCGCTGAGCATCGTCTTGCAAAGATTGACATCTTTGTGGTCCGCAGGGATGAGGACGTGGAGGATAGAGGAGTGTTTCGCCTTGTTCTTGCTGCTCGACGAGAAAGCAGTGGGAACAAGATGGCGGTCGCTGTTGACGGTAGTAATGAAGATAACAACGAGTATAAAAGATGCTGCGAAAAGTATCCAACGCCGGCGACTCCAGCCTGGTAGGCGCGCGACCGCGTCGTTGGAGAGTTGCTTGTACCCGCGCATCATCCAGAAAACCGTGCTGACACGGCGGAACTGTGAAGCTCACGTTGCGAGATAATGCTTGCGACAGCGCCGTAGTTGGCAGTGCATCTGCACCCGGCCGAGCGCATTATTCATGTTGGTAATGAGCTGTCACCGATGGCAGTTCGCCTTCTTAGGATCTAAACTTACACTTGAGCTAGTCGGATATCTCAGCCGTGCGGCGTCAACTCCGGGAGGTGGCGGATGGGCGTACACTAGTGGATCTACTTGCCGGCACCATCCGGAAGAGGTGTGCCGAGATGCCACTAGTCTCTTTGATGGCTTGGACCATCTGCTCGGTAAACTGCCACGACAGGGGCGGCGTGGCTATGTGAACAGGAGCGAAATTAGGCAGTAAGATTTGTGCATTCCACTCTTGGTGCCAGTTCGATGAGAGACCTTACATGTGATCGTACAGTTTGGTGTGAAACACAACGTTGCTATTAAGATTTAGTAAATTCAACGCCTGATGCTTCGCGATCAATGGTATATAGTGTCCCAAAACGAGACTTTCTCTGCCTCTCCACTGTACAACGCAGGTTCATGCGACTCGCAAAGAGATTTCCACGAGAGCGATGCCCCCTGGTCACTCCAAGCCCCCGACTTCTCCTCTGGCTCACCTACTTTACTGTCGTACGGCATGTTCTTGGTCCACCGAACTCCATTGATAGGATCTGACCCAATCTTCTCGTCGTTTACTTGAGATGCCGCGCGTTGAAGGCGCTCAGCCTCTCCAGAGTACCACATGCGGGGCCACCAAGTGTCTCGAAATGACTTGTCGCCTGTGAAGTGGAGCACTGGGAAAGGCTGGCCAGTAACTGTGTTGAAACCCAGAGACACATCTCGCCACGAAGTTTCCTTCAAGGCCGGATCATCTGATATAGCAGCAAATGGCTTCCTTGACTGCAGCACGTCCTCCTGTAGATCAATCCTGTACGGCTCCACGGATTTCGATGATGAAGGAAGCGAGGATCGGTTCGTCGCCATCCAAGCAATGTAGTTCCTATACCCCGCAGCTGTTTGGAATAGGCTCGATCGATAGTCCAGCCCAATGTGATATTCAGTCACTTCGCCTTCCTTGAGCGTTGGTAGGTCAATTTCTTGAACTCCTTCGGGCATCCCGTAGGGCTTATCTCCATGCGATAGTATGCGCGCATACTCTTGATCACCCCATACGTCTGCAAAGTACTTCTGATCGGAGTTGCGCAGCACGTCTTCGGGATTGTACGTCTGCTTGATCTTTTCTTGAGTTGCACGAAACATCTCGCGCATTTCGCCAGCGGGCCCGATGATGGTGCCTGAGTTCAGCCAGCGCGGTCTTGCGTGATTCATATCACCCCATCCATCAGTGTAAGGGCCAAAAGCGTCGGGGTGAAGAGGTGAGTCAGGAACGACCCAGCACGCTAAGCGAAGAACATCTTCTGGCCAGCATACTTTGTCAGGGCCGAAAAGGATGCTGTTGTAAATCTTGTGTTTCCGCATATGGCTTTTGCCGTACCGGTTGAGCAGCCGATCATTGGCGGCAGCCGTTTCTTCGAAGTAACGCTTTAGCAAGACATCCGGACCGAGCTGGAACGTAACATCGAAGCCATCCACCAGTAAGACTATGTCTGTATCTTGTGCGGGGGACAGACTCTCGAGGTAGCGAAGAGGACCCGCGATTTTCGCAAGGTGAGTTTCTGCAGCGTTGAATGCGCCCGCTCCTGCCCAGTCGATGAGAACAGGAGGTGGGTACAAGAGCACCGACGCGGAGAGAAGAAGGCGGCACAAGTCGAGGCCACTACTTGTAGCTACAATGAGCAGGTGAAGACGCGATTCTTGGATATTCGCGGTGAGTGGATCTTGTACCGCGGCTTGCCGTATGGTGTCGAGGGAGTTGAGATGTAGTGCAGTCCAGAAAACTACCAGGGTCGCGAAAACCAGGGTTCCGAAGACGAGAGTCCTAGGACGAAGCATGGCGCAGGTGTATTGAGCCACAGCCGTCTGAAGGCGATTATGATATGATCAGTGGTAATAGAGCGCTAATTTTAGGCCAGCCATAGCCCAGCAAAACTCTCCTTTGGCATTGATACCGTGCAGCCCCGTGGTCAGGCAGACCTCGGGAGCGTGGCGTCACCCATGGCAATCTCGTATGGTGAGCTGCATGATTGGCATAAATGGCATGATTCCGAAAGAAGTTGATAGAGCGAGGCATACTACCAGGATATCGGGAAAGACGGATGCTAGTGTCTTACTCGGATCCAGGCTCCAAGCGATCGGTTGGACGCACGTCTGGGGTCACAGAAGAATCACATGTGCACGGACTCTGTTCTCGCTAGAGTAGCGCGTCACGCTAAGAAAGCGCGACGCCATGTGTCATTCGCTCATCCACTTGCTCTCGCCTTTGACTTAAGCTCTATACTACTGTACCACGCTCCACCTGCCAGAGCGAGCAGGATGCCCGCGCCGTTCATCGGACTGACAGGCACGTCCCACAAGAAGGCTCCCAATACGATGGTCAGACATTGCTTGAGATTTGCACAGATGGTCAAGGTCAACGCGCCCGCCAGCTTGTTCGTCTCGAAAGACGCGACATTGAGGCCGAATGCGAGCAGGCCGTTGCCCGAGACTGTCAGAATCCTTTCCCTTGTAAAGTGTCCGGCATTCACAAAAGCAAGAAATTCTGAGAATTCGCCAATGAGCACCGAGTACAGCAGAGATTGCACTGCGGCCAGGGGCCCCATGCGGAGGAGCAGCTCCAGAGCGGGTAGTCGCAGGCGCCCCGTCATCAAACGGTTGGTAACAACGGTCTATTTCGAGCTGTTAGCATCCTTCGCGAGAACGTGCATAATCCTTCGGGTATTACTTACCTTTATGGCAGCGAGGACCACACCGATGAGTGTCAGGGTGAATCCAATGGCGGTGAAGTAGTAGTCACCAAAGGTAGCCAGTCCGACGCCTAGCATTACCGGGACGATGGACAGATACGTGATCAGTGCATATCTTCGGGAGAAAATAACACGGTATATCAGAATGGTAAAGAGCGGGCATGTCGCTCGCATGATTTGATGGAAGGGAACAGAGACCATGGCTCTTTGCGAAGTTATTAGCGTACGAAGATGTATGTAAGGTAATGGAAACTTACAACGACAGATTTGACATTGCAATGTTCAGCGTGAACAAGAGCGAGAACATGAAATGGACCAGATGCTCGCGCGGCGTCAGCCTCGTTAGCTGGAAATGCCCGAACATCAAGAAGACTGAACTTCCAAGAGCAGCACTTCCGGTATGTACCGCTGTGAGAATCCACGGGAACGGAAACTGGGTATCTCGTTAGCTAAATCGACTCCTCGTATCTGCTCCTGCTACATACCGAACCCATAACAGCTTTGTTGTAAAATGTGAGACTCAAGTTCATTATAAAATAAGTCGCCAGGTATATGAACGTCTTCGTCCTACTGGCAGCTGGCTCTGTAGGACGCTGAGAAAGCACATGCTTTCCATCTTGTTGGCTTTCGAGGTCCAGTAGCGGTTCATTCTCCTTGATATCCAGTTCAACAGGATATTGCTCATCGGTTTCGGCCACTTGGTTGAGTACAGGCTCGGCCTGAGCCATTTCGAATTTCTCCATGATGTTGTCGTCTTTGTCGGTCGACGTGAGGAAGGAGTCGCGTGCTACCTCGCGATGAGGCGTTTCGACAGTCTAAGGGATGTTCAAATTCAGGTGGCTGAACCGGTATTTGATCCGACAAGTATTAGTTGAAAGAGATTATAGCGTCACTGTGGCTAGGGCCAACAAAGTCTCTTCGCGTCTAATCCTCAACCACGACCGGATAATGCTGCGGTTGGCCGACACCTTAGCTCCTTCGCATGCCTGTCTGCCTAGGACCCGCTGAGAACGGTGTGTGCCGTGTCACACGATGGATCCGGGTAAGGTGTGGCTGTCGGGGACCGGAGTTAACACTGCATCTCAAGCAAGGGCGAATAATGTGTAGTGGCTGCACGTGTGCGCTGGCCCGCTGAAACTGTGCTGACCATTGACTGCGCCATGAAGTCCAACTAAGCCATAGTTTGGGCACAGTGGCTTCATCCGCTGTAATCATGCGTTGCCGGGTTCCGATATTAGCAGAATAAGAACAGTCCCTATGGGTTAGTGTCCTATGACACTTGGCTTCTCTGCGCGTTCTCTGGGGCGGAGCGAAAAACTGCGTAACTCGGGGCGGAGCTTGGAGTCCTGCAACAGAACTAACTGAAAAGCTACGCGCATAGCCATAGTGGCCAAAATGCGAAATCGATGTCAAGCCTCGCCGAGTGGTGGAGTACTCGTGCTAAGGATTACATCACAAAGATAACATGCGACGTTACTAAGAAGGCCCCGGCTGGCTTGGCAGGCACCCCATCAATTGATCCTTGTGGCGTCCCCGGTACTTCCGTCACGCTAGCGCTCATCACCATCATGTCACCCAACCAAGCGTTTCCTAGCCGTCCGATACGTTCAGGTCCATCCTCGGCACCAGTAGTTGCCAAAATGAGATCGTGTAAACGATAATAGAAGATGCCGATAGCCGTCCAGGCGACCATGAGTATCTTCGGCCGCTCGGTCCGTGACTATGGCTGGTGGATACTTCATCCAACATCTCGATACCCTTGTGTACCTATAGGTATCCGGCTCACTTCCACGAAGGCTTCTTTGTCCTTGTCCTGCTCAATTACCAGGCATCCTGTTATACACTCGTTTTTGCAAACCCTCACACACTCCTCATGTCTAGTCACACACGGCAAGATGCGCCCACCCCAGCGCCCTCATACCGCTCCACCCATGAGTCCAAATTGTTCGGACGCATAACCAAGATATGTTGTATCGGTGCAGGATACGTGGGAGGACCGACTTCGGCAGTCATGGCGAACGCCAACCCCGACATTCAGGTGACGGTGGTCGATTATGACAGCAAGCGCATTGCTGCATGGCAATCTGAAGATCTCCCCATCTACGAACCTGGCCTCATGGATGTGGTCAAGCCAGCCCGCGACGGCATCCCCAACAAGCGAACGCCAAACCTCTTTTTCTCCACAGATGTCGACCGCGGCATTGCCGAAGCCGAACTCATCCTGTTGAGCGTCAATACCCCCACCAAGACATTGGGTCAGGGTGCCGGACATGCCAGTGAGCTTTCCTATTTGGAGTCTGCTGTGCGAAAGATTGGTGCTGTTGCTACAGGCAACAAGATCATCGTAGAAAAGAGCACTGTGCCATGCCGGGCGGCAGATACGCTGCGAGATGTTCTGAGAGCAACGAGTAGACCTGGCGTCGAGTTTGAGATCCTATCAAACCCTGAGTTCTTGGCCGAGGGAACCGCTATCCAAAATCTCTCGAACCCTGATCGCGTTCTCATCGGCTCTCTTAAGACTCCTCAAGGGTTGGCGGCTGCACGAGCTCTTTCTCAAATCTACTCAGCTTGGGTCAGCCCAGATCGCATCATCACGATCAACTTGTTTAGCTCCGAGCTGGCCAAGCTAGCTGCAAATGCACTGCTCGCTCAGCGGATCAGCAGTGTCAATGCACTGGGTGCCATGTGCGAGGCAGTAGGCGCCGACATCGATGAGGTGTCCTATGCCGTTGGATTGGACAACCGCATTGGGTCTCGAATGCTCAAGGCATCGGTCGGCTTTGGTGGCTCCTGCTTCCGCAAAGACATCTTGTCTCTTGCATACATCGCAGAGTCCCTGAACCTGTTTGAGGTCGCCGCTTACTGGCGATCAGTAGTCGACATAAACGAGTACCAGAAGGACCGATTTACCCGCCGCATAGTGCGATGCCTGTACAATTCGCTTTCGAACAAGACGCTTGCTATTCTTGGCTTTGCATACAAGAAGGACACAGGAGACACTCGCGAGTCAGCAGCTATCACAGTCGTCAACAACCTACTTGCTGAAGGTGCCAACGTCAGGATCTACGACCCACAAGTCAAGGAATCGCAAATACTGCACGACATCGAGAGCAGTAACCCGAGTCCGCAGAGCATCAAAGGCAGACTCACGGTCTGTTCCTCGACTTACGAAGCGTGTACCGATGCCGACGCCGTGGTCATATTGACGGAGTGGGACGAGTTCAGCAACAAGCAGCCTACGAGAAGCGGGCATGTTCGCGGCGACTCAGTACACAACGGTGATGTGGATACAACGCGCAAGGAGATCTCATGGAAGCGCGTTTCGCAGGTCATGCGCCGTCCAATGTACGTCTTTGATGGACGTAACGTCGTCGATCCTGTGCCTCTCGAAGCTCTGGGTTTCCGGTACGAAGGTGTTGGTAAATCGAGGGGGTTGTAATCGGTCTGAATGTTTCAATGTCGAGATATCCAATTTGCTTATTTACTTAATGAGGTGTAGAGTTAGTACCCAGGTTCGGCGTTGGTCAACCGCTGTTGCAGCAATAGACGGTAGGATGGTAGCTCTACCTAGGTAGTAATCAGCTTGCTATTCCGATACAGATCCTTCAAGATGTTCTCTTTCACGTCGTTTCAGCTGATTGACTTCTTCGACCGCGGCAGTAGTTTGTCAGTGCTGCGAACGTCGTTGGTGATGGGGCAAGGTTGTACGCGTCAACTGGTGAGATGTTGCCCCACCTCGCATCCATCGTGTTTTAGGTTAGCGCCGTACCTGGACGCCTGGACGCGCGCGCCCCCGGGGCCGCGCCTGGCAGGCGCCTTCCAGCCCAACACGCTTCGCACTTCTCTAAGGGATCAATCCTGCCCATGGGCACTGTAGCACGACTATCGCAACATTCTGACTCTTAATATGCCAATATCAACTCAACAAAAATTTGGGCATGCCCACTTTCAAGAGGGCTGCTGCCTAAGGGCGCGTGAATTGATCGCACGGGTTTCTTCGCGCGTCTGCTGTACGCGCCTTCAGCGAATGACTTTCTAGCAACCCATGTCGATGCATCACAAGTCGTCGCAGCCTTGCTGTGCCGCGCTCATGCGTAAATCAAGGTCTCTCTGGATGCCCCGCGGTGGATTCCTCGTCGCTGGGTGTTCCTTGCCCGTAGCTTCTTTGCCTTCAGTCAGCCCTCCCGTCCTCCCCGTCATGGAAGCCTTTGGCGTCGCTGCAAACATCATCTCGATCATTCACATCACAACAGAAGTTGTCAAGCGGCTTAACGATTTCAGAGCGACAACCGAGGGTCTGCCAAGGGCATTGAAGTCACTCAGCGTCGAGCTTCCAACGCTGATAAATTCTTTAAGGCGCATTCGGCAGGCTATTGACGATGGTAGGGTTTCTCAAGAAAGCCAGGAAGCGTTGGAACCACTTATCAAAGACTTCGAACTTCAAATTCAGGCTCTGTCGGATATCATATTCAAGATGCGCCCGCGGGTCAACTCAAATGCGTCTCGCAATCTCAAAGCCGTTACAAGCTTTCGTTATGACAGCGAAGTGAAGCACATAGAAGGTGTAATCAGAGGCTATGTGTCGACATTGACATTGGAGTCTGCTATCGCAGCTGATAACAGAGGTGGCGCAGGTATGTTGGCGTCGCCCATGATAGAACGTGGGCTTCATCGATCTAACAAACAACAACTTGCAGTTTCACAGCCACTTCTGACGCCGAGATTCATCTGTCCTTTTGGCAAGGATGTCGACTTCATCGAGAGATCTGTGCTTGCTGATCTCCTTGTTTTGAGGGGACCTGGATCGCGACATGCGCTTGTGGGAGCAGGCGGCATCGGGTACGTACACAACCACCCGGCTGAACTATCTACAGCCTTCGCATTCCCCGTTGCCCAGCACGGCAATTTGCAGCAGCTAAAATTGAGAACAGAAAGTCACAGATTGCAATTGAGTACGGTTACAGAGTCCAACGAGACTTTCCAAACACATGGGTTTTCTGGATCGATGCGGAGAATATTACGAAGATGGAAGAGAGCTATCGTGAGATTGCCAGAATTTTGCGCATCAATGGCGCAAGCGACAAGGACGCGGATGTCTTTGGTCTCGTCTACGATTGGCTGCGCAACGAAGCGAATGCAACATGGTTGATGATCATCGACAACGCGGACGACAAGGACGTCTTCAACCGTCTACCGCCGAAATACAAGGGATCCGACCAGTCCAAAGAGATGCGAGAATTCATACCGCAATCTTCAAATGGCTCAGTCCTAGTCACGTCGAGAAGCCGAGACGCTGCTTTTCAGATCACCTGCAATTACAAAAACATAAAGCATGTGGAGCCAATGAGTGAAGCAGAGGCAATCGCGCTCCTACAAACGCATCTAGAAGATAGCCACGAAGATGAGGACAAGAGACTACTTGTTGAGACTGTCGACTACATCCCGCTCGCAATTACTCATGCGGCAGCTTATATCAGCAGACGGTCCTTACCAATACGCGACTATTTACAAGAGCTTAGCACGAAGGATGAGGAAGATTCAAACGCCTTAGAAGAGGATATTCCACAGCTACGTCGTAAGGCAGGGCGTTCCAACTCAATCGTCAAGACATGGAGAATCACATTCGAGTACGTCCGCAAGACCATGCCTTCGGCCTCTAGGCTCTTGTCGCTGATGTGTCTCTTTGATCGACAGGGCATTCCGGAGGCGCTTCTCCAGGGGCAATACAGCGAAGTGATACTTTCGTCACGGAACATCCGCAAATCATGGTGGAAGCGACGGCCTCATACGCGCCGAAAGAAAATAGAGCAACAGTCGTTGTCTTGTCCTAAGAGCCTCCCTCGTGACTTTGAGGACGACTGGCTCGCTCTCAGGGATTTTAGCCTGATCAAGATGAACAGGGACAGGAGGCATTTCTCTATGCATCCGCTGGTGCAATTCACGACTAAAAGGTGGCTCGTTCAACATGATGAGCTCGATATCTGGAGTCAACACTTCATACGTATCCTCGATGATAGATTTCACGACTCAGATGACGGTGACTTCAAGAGATGCGAGCCTCTGATCGCACATGCATATGCTGCCATTCCGTACCGGCCATCGAATGCTGCCATACATCCCTTACGTGCATGGGCATCGCTTACCAGGAAGATTGCGCGTTACTACGACCAAAGAACCGGGCTTGAGATAGCGCAAGATCTTTACCGCGTTGCGGCTGAGGCTTTCGAAACTACAGGAGGTAAAAAGACACCCGAAGCACTCAAATGCCGTAAACTGCAAGCACTCCTACTTTTCCAGACAGACAGAAATGCGGAATCGGAAATTCTGTATCGCCATATCTTACGCTTGCAGCAGAAAGCTCTCGGCCATGGACATCTCGATACACTGGATACCATGGATCGCATAGGCGATGTATTATCTTTTCAACGCCGTCGTTCAGAAGCCGAAGCAATCCAAATGCAATCGCTCGAAGTCAGAGTCCGCAATTTTGGTCTTGCGCATCCCAGCACGCAAGAATCCCTTACCAAGCGCGGCTATTTTCTTCTAGCAGGAAGTCGCTATAATGAAGCCTACGTCACCTGGAAACAAGCCTCTGAAGCACGAAATGTAGCACGCGATACTAGCTGGGTCAAGGAATTGGATCTAATCGGGTTGAGATTGCAATTAGATGGTCGATCCGCCGACGCGGAGAATTATCTAAGAGAGTCGCTTTCAGAGAAAGGGCGTATGTTTGGCGAGGACAATGACTCCACAGTGCCCGAAGCTGCTGCAACACTGGCACGCATCTTACTTTCTCAAGAAAAGTACATCGAAGCAGAGGCCCTGCTACGTCGTGCACTTTCTTGGTACGATTCCAGCGAGTTTTACGATAATCCAGAGCGCTTCCAGACGATGAGTGACCTCGCCCATACAATCGCACATACGGACAAACTTGAAGAAGCAAAAGAACTGGCCATAGTTTGCCTTTCATGGCGAACTGAGAGCTTCGGCTCACATGGTCGCGAAACTCTGGAGATCATGTGGATACTAGCCGGAGTACTAGAGAAACAGGGGAGCTTTGTGCGGGCTTTGCAGAAGTATCGTGATACGTATGAAGGTGCGAGACAGACGCTGGGAGAAGCGCATGCGGATACAAAAGACTACAAGCGTGATTACGAGAAGCTTGAGCAGGCTATGTATCAGAAGAGCTCGGCGATATCAGACGAGAACTGGGATGCAGCGACGATAAACTCTGCATTCGATCTCAGTAACGAGAATACAGGTGCAGGGGCTCAGGAACCAGGTGCTATGCTCTTCGACGTGACCGAATCTGAGAAAAAAGGATATGATGGCACTGTCATAGCAGCTCGATAACCATGGAGAGTATGCATATGCGGAATCGGCATCTCAACGAGTGCTCTATAGAAATCGGAGTGAATAGCAGAGTGAATGCTCAGTTGTTGTTATTACAAAATGTCCGCGCTGCGTCATTCACTGAGCTTTGCGACCCACCCCGTTGACATAATCCCACACTCACGCGCACTTCGCTATACAACATTGAAAATTCATGTCCTGCAGTCCGTATCCTTCTGACTGCGTGATACGAGCACGAGATCTTCAACATCGTCTCTTCCATTCTGCCGCTCCAAACCGCAATCGCATTTTCGCAACAGCGCTTCTCCACCCACTAGTATCACGCGACTAGAACATGGCCTTGCCTACACCGAAAATCGTACCCAAGGCCTCTGCGCTCTTCTTGCCGTACGAGATCGAACTCTACCAACGCTGGCGCAAGTCCGCCCTTGGTATCGCTGCTGAGAACGACGATGACGTCCTCCTACCCACCGCGTTTGAGTACATGGACTTCCTGGAGTGGCGCGCCAGACAGTGCTCGAAACTCGATGGGACTCAAGAAGCGGAGAGCAAGTCGCCAGATCCAGCGTTTTCGGGATATGTATTGGCGGAGCGATGTGGACACCCTCTACATCCTGGAGATCCACGTCCAGATGCTCTAAGACAACCGAAGGACGATGCAGAGGAAGAAAACGAGGAAGAAGGCGAGGAACAGGATACGATTGCTTGGTGTTCGATGTGTCTTTTGCAGATCCATCTCAAGCTGCTTGCCGAGCTATGGGATAAGTGGTTGAACTCCGGCGGCCCGTGGCGTGTCTTACGTCCCGGCTCCACAGCGGAAGGCTGGCAGATTGCCAAGCGAGCATACTATATGCGGAAGACCAACCTAGTCAACGATGTCGATAACTTGGAGGATGTCGCGCGATTGGAAGATACCTGGGAGGCTGCGCATCCCGCTGCGGACGTGGAGGTCGTTCGTGCGTACAGCGCCAAGACGGCAGTGGATGTGTATGCGAAGGGTGTTCAGTTTCCTGCACGCGTAGCAGGACCGGATGAAGTAGCTCCCCGAACACCAACAGGCAAGGAACGAAAAAAGCGCCTCTCGTACTCACCAGACACACCGGAGGATACTCGTCATCGCTCTAGTGCCGCTTTCGCTCGACGCTGCCTTGCCTACGACCCTGAGTCACCCCATCGATGTCCTGAAGAGGATGGATGGGCTGAGACATCGTTCAAGAACAGCTGGGAGTACAATGTACGGCAATGTCGCACCCTGCTATGCAACAAATCGCCCAATGAACCCGATGTCACTTACCGCGAACTCGCCGACGAAGCTTCAAAAGATACCCTCATCAACGGCATCGAGGAGTGGCTCGGCAAGATGCAAGATGATTGGAAGCAGCCCTGGGTTGACATTTTGCTGACTACAACCGAAATGTTTCTTGTCTGGCAAGATCCGCGTCACGACGATGATGCTGACACGGATTTCAACAACTGGGACAGGACTGAGACACTCGTGGGCACCAACCTAGAAGCTTATGCGCGGCAAATTGGCGATATCGACGAGGAGGATGAGACCGAGCTGGTACAAGCAGAGGTGACAGAGGACTTCTTCGACCAGGATTCCGTTGCGTCTGACTCCGACTCCGACTCAGATGAAGACGAAGACGAGCTCCCTGATCCGATGGATCTAGAAGAGGACGAGGAAGTAGCCATCAGTGTAGATGAATAGGAAACGCCAGCTCGGCTACACAGCGCAGACGCTGGAGCAGAATCCTTACCGATGCTTATCCAGTCGACATGTAAATTCTTCAGAGCAAAATGACAAGTAAGGAAATTATGAGATAATCAGCCTTGACATGTGGTAATAGGTATGCAAGACTACTTGTCTCGAACACAAGTCAGGTATCAACGCCCAATAAGATGATAAATTCGCCAAAACGTGCCCGGACTTTACATGACAATACAGCAAGAGTTTTGCTTCTTAGCCTGTGACTGTGTTAGCATGACCGAGCTTTTAGTTGCCAGCTCTTGAGCACTCACCTGTGTGTAGAACATCTTGCTCGATGCACTCAGCTCATCACTCTTCTGAACTAGGTTGTCAATCTTCTCTCCTCGCTCCAACACACTCTCGATGGTCTTGTGTAGCACAATCTTGGTCTCGTCCAACTCTTTTTGGATCTTCATTATGCTGTCGGCCTGTTGTGGGTCTTGGTACTTGACGATGTAGTCTTTGAGCTCGGGGTAAGACATGTTGGCTGATTCGGTCGCGTTGGCGAAAGCGGAGCGCGGGTATTTGGAGAGGAACTCGTCGCAAACTTTGGAGAGAAGCTGGTGGGCTACGAGGGAGGGGTATTCGTGGTCGGTGATCATGAGACCGCACACGCCTTCGGAACGGCCGTAGGCGTGGAATGTGTAATCTGGACGCGCTCGATTAGCATATGTCTGCGCATGAAGCGGCTACGCTGATGAAGGACGTACCTGACTCCTCGACATCCTGTCTTTGCCCTGGTAGTGTCCTAGAAGCGACTGTCTTTGCTGTGAACGACATCTGGACTGCTATCAGCTTGTGTCCCTCGGTCCGTGTGACCTGCCACAACTCTGGCTGTGCGGTGAAGGTGACGTACGAACTCTCCGACGCTTCCCCGTGTGAAGCGGCCGAAGCTGGACAGATCGCGCTCGGCGCAAAGTTCGATCGCGGGTTTGGTCTCATTCTTGAGGATCTGTACATGGTTAGTACTCATCCGAGACTGGAAGCGGCGGTGAATGGGCTCCTACACCAATATAGAGGACCTTCATATTGGCGGCGGGTTTATTTTATTCGTGAGGAAGGTGAGTGGTGAGACTGGTAGGGCAAGGTTGTGTAGCTTGTATGCGCGTGGTAGGGTCGTGGAGAAAGGAAGCCTGGAGTCGTGGCCCGAGATAGCACTCCTGGCGCCAGCATGCGTCTCATGGTCGGCGGAACCAGCATGTGGCGCGCTGATTATGTCATGCCGCTAATGCGCGGGGGCGGGGCAGGTCCAGCCGAATCCAGGACACTCACCCATCATCGATTCTGCCAAGCCTGACGCAGAGGCAATCACGCTTTCCATCGTGAAGAGCGCTCCAACCAGCGCACCTGCATCATATCGACCGCCAACGTTCGGAGAAGTTGTAATAATGTCGCCCTCCGTCGAGGACGCCCAGGCGCAATGGCTCGAGCAGCTCGATGCCATGCGCAAAGCCATCGCCGAACTCAATCTCCCTGCCGATACTGAGAAGGCGCCAGCCTACGGAGACGACCTCGATTTCGATGATGATGACTTCTCTGGAACCGTCAGCGGCGAAGATATCTGGGACATCATCAGCGACGAGTATGAAGAAGAGTTCAGCAGTGATCACCTCGACCAATTTCCCGATGGCCAAGTTGGTGGCGAGGCTTACAGCCAGCAATGGCTCGCAGAGAAATGCTCTTCAGTAGCCCAGAGTGGTTCCGGTCTGGATTCTGGAGCGTTGAAGGAGCAGATCACCGCGATCCTGTCAAGTGACAGCAATGGTGAGGCTTCATGCCAATACTCGATTACTGCAGCATACTAACTATGCACAGACGAAGAGCTACAGATGATGCTCGCAGACATTGTTGGCTACGGAGAGTTGGACCTTGTGGCCGAGCTCATATCGCATCGCAAGGACATCATGCGATCCTTGCATAACCCTACTCCCGCTCAAAGCAATGGTGCCATGGGCCGTTTACAGACCCGAGCCGAACGCGAAGAAGCGTTGCGCCGGGCGGATTGGGAGCACAAGACTGCCGCGTTGGCACCTTCTATGGACCGAACAGGTCCCCAGTATCCTCACGTTTATCGGACTCACGAAGCCGGCAACAAGCTCTCGGCTTATGGCAAGAAGTACGCGCTACCTCCAGATACTGAGCATCGCGACAACAACCTGTATGAAGAATACGAAATCCCCGCAGTTCCGGTAGGTACTGTCGGCGTCGGCCGAAGGCTTCTCGAGATCCAGGAACTGGACGGCCTCTGTCAGCGTACCTTCAAAGGCTACAAATCCCTTAATCGCATGCAGAGTCTGGTGTACCCAGTCGCCTACAAAACCAGTGAGAATATGCTGATCTGCGCACCTACTGGTGCTGGTAAAACAGATGCTGCCATGCTCACCATTCTCAACACCGTGGCCAAGAATGTTGTGCCGAACCCGATCGACGAGCCTGAGGCGACCGACTTTACAGTCATGATGGAAGACTTCAAGATCATCTATGTCGCACCCATGAAGGCGCTCGCTGCTGAGGTCACAGACAAGCTTGGAAAGCGCCTAGCGTGGTTGGGTATCAAGGCTCGCGAACTGACTGGTGATATGCACCTTACCAAAGCCGAAATTCTGGACACCCAGATCATAGTTACCACGCCAGAAAAGTGGGACGTGGTGACGAGAAAAAGCACTGGAGACACCGAGCTGGTACAGAAAGTACGTCTGCTCATTATCGATGAGGTTCACATGCTCCACGACGAGCGCGGCGCTGTATTGGAAAGCTTGGTAGCGCGTACTCAGCGACAAGTGGAGAGTACACAATCACTCATCCGGATTGTCGGTCTCTCTGCGACCTTACCCAACTATGTCGACGTAGCCGACTTTCTCCGAGTCAACAAGATGGCCGGTCTGTTCTACTTTGACGCTTCATTCCGTCCTGTACCTTTGGAGCAGCACTTCATCGGCGCCAAGGGCAAGCCAGGCACAGCGAAGTCACGTGAGAACGTGGAGAGAGTGGCTTATGATAAGGTCGTCGAAATGCTCAAACGGGGCCACCAGATCATGGTCTTTGTGCACTCGAGGAAAGACACCGTCAAAACAGCCAGGCGATTATACGACATGGCTATGGAAGAACAGTGCACCGATCTATTCGATCCGCAGGACCATCCTCGTTACGAAAACGCTGTACGCGATATGAAGCAGTCAAAGGGCCGAGAATTACGCGAGCTACTTGGAAAGGGCATGGGTACTCACCATGCTGGTATGCCTCGTTCTGACAGAAACCTGATCGAGCGCCTTTTCGCTGAGGGCGTTCTAAGAGTGCTCTGCTGTACAGCGACATTGGCTTGGGGTGTCAATTTACCCGCGGCAGCCGTCCTCATCAAGGGCACCCAAGTTTACAACGCACAAGAAGGTAAGTTCACCGACTTGGGCATCTTGGATGTTCTGCAAATTTTTGGTCGTGCCGGTCGACCCCAATTCCAGGATACAGGTATCGGCTTCATTTGTACGACACACGACAGGCTGGATCACTACATGCGCGCCGTAACTGAGCAACAGCCTATCGAATCCAGATTTTCCGCAAAGCTCATAGACAATCTCAATGCCGAGATATCACTTGGTACAGTGACTACTGTCTCTGAAGCTGTGACTTGGCTCGGTTACTCTTACCTCTTTGTACGGATGCAGAAGAGCCCGCTGATGTATGGCATTGAATGGAATGAGATACGCGACGACCCACAGCTTGTCGGGAGACGTCGAAAGCTTATCATCGATGCCGCACGAATCTTGCAGAGAAGTCAAATGATCATCTTCAACGAGACCACAGAAGACCTGCGAGCGAAAGATGTCGGGCGTATTGCGAGTCAGTACTACGTCCAGCAATCAAGTATAGAAATCTTCAACACAATGATGCGACCTCGTAGCACAGACGCGGATGCTCTGGCTATGGTCAGCATGAGTGGCGAGTTCGACCAGGTACAATCACGCGAATCCGAGGAGAAGGAGCTTTCAGCCCTCAAAGAAGAAGGGCATGTGATCACACAAGTCAAGGATGGGTATGCTACTTCGCATGGAAAGACAAACTATCTTCTCCAAGCTCACATCTCGCGAGCACGACTGGAAGATTTCACCCTGGTTTCAGACACGAACTATGTGACCCAGAATGCAGCACGTATCGCGCGTGCGCTATTCATGATTGCGCTTAATAGGCGCTGGGGTTACCAGTGTCAGGTACTGCTAAGTCTTTGTCAATCTATCGAACATCGATGCTGGTCTTTCCAGCACCCACTGCATCAATATGAGTTGCCGCAGCCAGTCTTGCGCGCGCTCGATCACAAATATCCGTCGATACAAACCCTGCGCGAAATGGATGCAACGGAGATCGGAGACCTAGTACATAACAAGAAGATGGGTGGCGTCATCTCAAAGCTCATGAACAACTTCCCAACCTTGAGCATTGAATCTGAGATCGCTCCGCTCAACAGAGATGTGCTCCGCATCCAGCTGTTCCTCACGCCCGACTTTGTCTGGAACGATCGTCACCATGGTACTTCCGAATCATTCTGGATCTGGGTCGAGAACTCGGAAACATCTGAGATTTACCATCACGAGTTTTTCATCCTGTCGCGCCGAAAGCTCTACGATGATCACGAACTGAACTTCACGATCCCACTTTCTGATCCTTTGCCTACGCAAGTATATGTTCGCGCCTTATCTGATCGATGGTTAGGCGCCGAGACTGTCCATCCCATATCCTTCCAACATCTCATTCGGCCGGACACAGAGAGTGTCTATACCGATCTGTTGAATCTTCAGCCTTTGCCGATCGCTGCTTTGAAGAACCCACTGTTGGAGGAAGTATACGCGCAGCGCTTCCAATATTTCAACCCTATGCAATCGCAGATCTTCCATTGCCTATACCATACACCTGCCAATGTCTTGCTTGGATCACCGACAGGTAGTGGCAAGACTGTTGCTGCGGAGCTCGCAATGTGGTGGGCGTTCCGTGAGAAGCCCGGCTCGAAGGTCGTATACATCGCCCCTATGAAAGCACTTGTTCGCGAGCGAGTTCAGGATTGGGGCAAGCGTTTAGCTGGGCCAATGGGCCTCAAGCTTGTTGAGTTGACTGGTGACAACACTCCGGACACACGCACAATTCGGGATGCCGATATTATCATTACAACGCCTGAGAAATGGGATGGTATCAGTCGTAGCTGGCAGACTCGTGGATACGTTCGGCAAGTCAGTCTAGTCATCATCGACGAAATTCATCTACTGGGCGGTGACCGTGGGCCAATTCTGGAGATCATTGTCTCTCGTATGAACTATATCGCATCACAGAAGAAAGACGGGTCAATCCGTCTTCTTGGCATGTCCACTGCTTGCGCTAATGCGTCCGATCTTGGAAACTGGCTTGGTGTCAAAGAAGGCTTGTTTAACTTCCGCCACTCTGTGCGTCCGGTACCGCTGGAAATCTTCATCGATGGCTTCCCGGAACAGCGAGGCTTTTGCCCGCTCATGCAATCGATGAACCGACCTACTTTCCTGGCAATCAAAGCTCACTCACCGGAAAAGCCAGTTATCGTCTTCGTAGCCTCCCGTAGACAGACGCGTTTGACGGCTCGCGATTTGATCAACTTTTGCGGCATGGAAGATAACCCAAGACGCTTCCTTCACATGTCTGAAGACGACTTGGCACTCAATCTCGACCGAGTAAAGGATGACTCATTACGCGAGGCACTGAGCTTTGGTATAGGCCTGCATCACGCCGGTCTTGTCGAGACTGATCGATCGCTCTCAGAAGAACTCTTCGCGAACAACAAGATTCAAATCCTAGTCGCCACTAGTACACTTGCATGGGGCGTGAACTTGCCAGCCCATCTTGTCGTAGTCAAGGGTACGCAGTTCTTCGATGCCAAAACAGAAGGGTACAAAGATATGGATCTCACGGATGTGCTGCAAATGCTGGGCCGTGCCGGACGTCCTCAGTTCGATGACTCTGGTATTGCGCGTATATTTACGCAAGACGCCAAGAAAGAGTTCTACAAGCATTT